TCCCTTCCCCCTCCTTTTCCACCACAATAGACTTACCAGCTGCATGCAGCTCTGCACACTGTATTGGAAATCAGATCGGTATTGGCCCCCAAAATCTCTATTGGTGCACCCCTAGCGTATGCCCTTAGTTTCTACCAGGAAAGCAGCGGTTCTTATGGTAGAAATATGGTGTCTTCAGTGGGTGACCCTGAGCAAGTCAATAAGGCCCAGATTTTAAAAGATATTTAGGCATCTAGCACAGGGAAATCATTGGTAGTTGGGAACCTAAATACCTTTAAAAATGATGTTCTCAGCTTTTTGGTGACTCATTTTTCCCACCTTCAAAATGTGGATCAGAACATTGGCTAGATGAAATGGCCGCACAATTACTACTTATTTTTTACTTCCATATTTTGGTTATCTGTTTTGAATGACAAATTATCATCTGGGCAGGTCACATGCACTCTTTGTATGTACTGGTCTTACATATTTAACATAGGCAGATTCCTTTGTGTGTGTGAGAGAGAGAGAGAGAGAGACCTTACGTCACAGTACAGATCCAAACAGGTGCCCTTTGTGGCTAGAGTGAAAAGTTATGAGGGCAGATTCTGTGCTCTGCTGCTGCTTCTAATGTGAAACGAAACTAGATTTTCAGGGTTTCATATTGCTGAGTAAGGAACCCGTTTGAACTAAATGCTAAGGGAGTTGGTTTGCAGCAGTCTTGTTCCCCTGGATCCCCTGAGCGTTTATCATTTAAAATGAATTACAGGAATTTCTCTACCAGCCTTTACTCCCATTGAAGTCAATGGCAAATCCCCCTTTATTTCAATAGAAATGTTTGTCAATAGTAAGTTCTTAACTAGCATTAACTAGCATTAAAACTGTTTAATAACAGTGAAGCTCATTTGCATGTACCTTTTAGGAAATGCTTGCAACTCTGAGCTTTTAGAAATCCTGAGCCTTACCAAATGGATTTTATTTTCTTTTGAATCATACAGAATAAATATTTGAGCTTTTTAGACAAATTACCCATCTAGCTAAGTGATGCTCACAGAAGCACTTTAATAATAGCATACTACAGTTCAGTATTTCATCTTTTCTTTCTAATTTTTATTATAGTTTTACTGTTCTTCAGTCAAACTTGATTGTTCCTGTATTTCCAGTGGGTGTTTTGTTATGTACCATTTGAATGCTAAGGGTCAGATATAGTCTCCAGATGTATTCATACTGCTATCAGTAGGAAAGAAACACACTTACCAAGAGACAAAAGTTAGAGGTAAATTCTGTATATGAAGTAAACTACTGATTTGGGGTTTTTTTATGAGGCTCCCTGAGAATCCATGGGTACATGGTATATGAATGTCTTTCAACTAGAGAAAAAGCTAATCTTGAAATGGCATTTACTTTGGTTTTTATTACATCTTAGGGAAAGATTCTTCTCCAAATCTTCATGAATATAATTGTATATTGGATACAGTAAGGTACTTTATATTTCAGGACTCCTTGTTTATAGGCTGAAAATGCCATGAAGTTTGACATAAATTCTTCCCTTTCTTCTTCTCTCTTCTTTCTGGTTTTAATAATTAAAGGGTCTCCTGTGCTCCCACTGGAGGAAATGAATTCAGCAGGTACAGAGGCAGACCTCAAATGTGTTAATGTTTTTTTCCCTTGTGAAATCATTAGTAACACCTGTTTTCTGTATTTATTTACAGCTGCAAAAAGAAGCCCTGGACATCAGCCCCATGAGTACCAGGAGCTTAAACAGAGGTCCTTAAATAAAGATTCCCATCAGGGAAGCAAGTCCAGTGACTCTGGAGAGGAAGCGGATAAAGATTTTATTTTTGTTTAGCTATCAGTACAAGTGCTTGGTAGTGCGAGATCCTTTATAGCAATCAGGGTACAGCAATCAATGACCCTTCTTACCAGCCACTGTTTCACCATGGGTGCATTTTCCTATAGAACTCTAGAGGATCATGATTTATAGTTCAATCAGTATGCATTTATTTTTGTCTTTAATTTCAGTTATGTATGATTTCAGACATTCCTTTCCATGCCTTTGCTAAAGCCAGCAATCATTTCGTGTATTCTACTTGAATTTCTCTGAAGCAGCTACAAAGCATGCCCTGCATTAGGGCATTGAGAAAGCAAAGCAAATTAACTGGACATTGTCTTACACTAATACACTGTACAGCAGGTAATGTGTTGTACTGCTGAATGTAAATGTGTCAATTCTGCACGTGACTTAACTATAAATATATTCTTGCGGTATGCAATTGCACATTGTAATTATATTAACAGAGCACACTAATAAAATAATTTGTATAAATTATATATATTAGATGCTTGGGTATGGTTTTTACATTCTCCCCTAGGGAGCTCCTTTCTTCCTGTTATTGTACTGTACATAAAACTCAAACCCTTACATTTGTGTACTGTCAAAAAGCACAACAAAGAAAAATCTGAATGAAATATAATCTTGTTATGCTTCCACATTCATATATTAATGTATATAATTGATTGGAATGAGGGCATTTAACATTTTATTAATATTGGTGTTTTCTAGAGGCCTTCTTAAGTTCTGTCTGCATATTAGCTTACTTTTAAAGTGTAATTCTATAAGAAAAATAGTTTGACACCTGTAAAAACAATTCTGCTTTTTTGCATATTTCACAAACGTTCACTTACATTACAGGTCAAAGGGATTTTATTCATATGTATATTTGTACCAATAAAATGATTTTACAACTGACATATCAGTCTTTCTTTTTGGGTATAAAACTTTTTTATCATCTTTTAGTTTTATATCTCTGAATGAGGATTGAATGTCATATAGAGATAAGCCTTACAATTTTAAAAATGTTTAAATCTTTTTTTTGATTATACAAAGTTTCTGTTAGAAATGGACAGGAAGTCCTGTTATGGTTTTCTATATAAAATTATTTAAGGGAGATGTATTTACAAGTGACTTTGCTAGTAGCTTTTAGATAGAGGATTTTTCACACAAGCTAATAGCTCCTCTTAAGATACCCAGTTTGTGTACTCTGAGCTGCATTAGAAGTACAGAGCCTGTCTTCCAAATGTGAACAACACCTACGTGATTTCAGTGGTTCTGCTTGTCTCCAGTTACTCACTCAAATGTTTGCAAACTTCTGCTTAATTACTTCTGTGTGCTGTCTCTTGTGCCAAGTGGTAGAACATAATTGCACATCAGATTTGGTAGAATATGACAGCCACGTTGTATTCATTTTGTACAAGCCTTACTCATAGAGCCAGGTACAGAATAATAGGAAATTGGACCTGCTGCATAGCAAGACATTTCTAGTTTTGCCTCAGTACAGGCCAGGGGTTCATAAGTGAAAACTTTGCACTACTAACCATTTTTCTCTACCTCAGAACTTCACTCAGCTAATTCTTACTCCTTAATTGTAAGCTAATGAGACTAAGTTAGTTTACTAATTGGGAAGAGGAAAAACAGAAGAAATACCTTATATTTAAAGAAGAAATTCTAGCTAACTAAACACCATCTAAACTTGTATGTGGATTTTAACACAGGAAACACCAGCACCACTAAAATAGATGGAAAATCAGAAATGTTCAAAGTTTATTTTCTTAGGGATTTAATTTACCAGCAAGCCATCAAGCTTTATTAGGTATGAATAAAAATAGAACTTACCTGACAACCACTTAGAAATGTCTCACTTTTTGCTTGGTCTCTGTCTCACCTTGCAAGCAGGAACCCAGTCATTTGAAGTGGTGCAATAAGTAAATCATGTCCCTCAGGGTTATATGCACACCCCTTAACCTGGTGTTTAGTGGAGCTGAATTGAGCTGGTGTTGAATAGAGCTAGTGAACCAGTGACAAGTACATAAAAAGTATTGTTGAAAAAGGTGTGTATGTGGAAGGAAAATGTATATCTACACAACTACATAGTGGGTGAGTCTACACGTTCATTAATGTGCAGTAGTTACTGCACATTTAGTTTAGTATTTGCTTAATGAAGTACTAACTAAATACGCAGTAACTACAGTTACTCCACAGTCGCACTAGTGCAGCTTTTTTAGTGATGCTTGCTACACAGTAGCCTAATACTACTGTGCAGTCTCATATTAACATGGTTTTTGCCCACCACACTACTGCACAGTTTTATTAGGTTGCCGTGCATTAAGCATCTTGGTAGATGCACCCATATGGCATAAAGATTCCATCAGCATCAGCCTGAGAGAGCAGTATTTCACACAAGTTAGTCATTCCAAAAAACTTACCTATATACCACACCATCTATATATGTTCTATTCTAAGATTGTACTACTGAGGTTTTCTTTTCCTTTTATATCCTCCTGTCTGTAAAGTTATCTGTCTTAGTACAAGTGACTCAAATTGCATCCATAAAATCCACTAAAATAATTTTTCTGCACTGAAGAAGTCATGAATTTAAGCTCCAATATTTCAGGACTTTTCAGGGTTCAAAGTAAGTGTTTCTTTGCAAAACCTTGAATTTTATGTTCCATTGCCATAAAGGCCCCACTTTCTAGCTCTACACTGTCATGAAATACTGTCTAAATTTGTCACTGCAGGATTCACTGTTGCCAAATCACAGACCTTTAAAACAAAGTAAATTGGGGATGGACGAGGCAAATTCCCCATTTAGGTGGCAAAAAGGAAATACTTCTATGCCAGATTGCTTAAAAGAATATGAAGTTTGAGGTTGCTGAGGAGATTAATTACATTGTACACATACATGCACCACATGGAGTGGTTCTATCTATGAGAGAAATTACAGAGCTATGTGATAAGTACATGTTTAGTGTACCCTTTTAAGTCACTTGCCTACCTTCTACTCACTAATCTAGATACTCCAGGGCTACTTCTGATACTCCTGACCATGAGCTAACTTCACACAGCTTCCATTTTAAAATAGCTTAGTAGCAAAATATTTCCTTCTACTCTAATGGTTGTCAAAGTTTTACCCTGACACATTATTGTATACTAACCTAGTTAGCAATATTTAAGTCATAACTGATTACTGCACTTGCCACACTTGCCAAGTCCCTTTAGTGACTTATGAAAGCTATTACAGTAGATAAGCTGAAACTTCTTATTCTTTTAATAAAATAAAACTTTTCTATATTGGCAGGCATCACTGAGTACCTGAGGCCCTATATCTATCAGTAAAGCAAAAAAAAGTTTTACCCTTTCAATGGAAAAGGCATAGAGACACCTGTCTCCACCCTCCTAGATAAAGTCCCTTTTCCTCTTCCAAATTAGTGCAACCAGCTTTCACTGCAGCATGGTTGCGATTAAAGAGCAAATAAGTCACAGCCTAATACAAGCCATACATAGATGGGGCTATAAGTCATAAATTAAACATAGATGGGGAAAAATCATAGCTGCCATCTGGAAATCAAAGAGCAGGGATGCATCTGTTAACTGAGCCGTGAGCTGTATTGGCAAAGGGCCAAGCACCAATTTCCAGTAGATGTCCTCATCACCTTACCTCACCCTTTAGTATCCCATCTGGATTGTGTTCAAGCCAGGATTCTCCCAGGCCTGTCTCCAGCGCTGACCTGCACCGGGGAGGACACACAAAGCGTAGCATCCAGGTTATAAAGATATAGCTGTATGTCATTTGCTTTACAGTGACCAGCAAAACAGAACTTCTCTCTCTCTCCCCCCCCCAGCTGCTCTGTGTACCCTGAACAGGAAGAACAGTTACAGAATTCTACCCAGCACCCTCACAGAAGAATAGTAAGTATTTATTACCTAGGACTTGTGTTTCTGCATTACTGGTACTCTTTTTGACTGCAGTCATATGCAAAGGGTCCCAATCAAGACGAAGGCCCCCTTGCACTAGGTCAGCATTTCCCAACTGGTGTGCCTTCAGACATCACCAAGTGCATTGTGGGATCTTGGGGGAGCGTGGCTTCTGGGGGGGCGTGGGATGGGAGACACTGTGCAAGTGTGCTGTGGGATAAAAAAGGTTGGGAAATGCACTAGAGTCTACGTAGAGTGCCAGGCTTGGTGGCAGCAGGCAAGTCCCTGCTCCCTTTCCCCTCCCCTTCACTTTCCCATCTGGCCCAGAGGCTCCAACTGAAGGAAGCAGCTATGTGAGATGCTGGGATGGGACAGGGATGAGTGGTATCAGAGAGCAGTCACCCACCTCCTCCAGTGCCTGCTCCAGGCCAGTGGAGGATACCTAGGGGAGATCAGGCAAGGAGCAGATGCTGAAGGGGGTACCCACCTGCCACTGCTGCTGTCCCCAGCTGAGCCCAGCACCCCATGAAGTTGTTCACAGGAGCCCATAACTAGAGTGGGGCATAAGTGGATTGGGGCTTCCCTTGGCCCTCGGTCAGCTGGGAGCAGCAACACTGGAGGGCAGGTCCCCACTTCTTAGGCCCAAACATACCTCCTATTGAAGGTAGTGTAGGAGGAGGAATGGGAGGATAGGGAAGGTGCTGCTGAGAACCAGAGGGGAGTGCCCAGAACAGGCCTGTGGGGAGGTCTGGGGATCTTACTTGCTTAGGAGACTCAAAGAAGTCTCAGGTAGCTGCTGCCATGGCATGACCTGCTTGCAAAGGTGGCACCAGTTGCATCTCCCAAATGCCATTTTACAAAATCCTAAACCCATCCATGATGTGAAGTATCATGTTCTGCCAGTGCTTCTCAACTTATTTTGTACAAAGGCCCATTTGTAAACATCAGTGGCCAGTCCCGACCCAGTACCCCTCACTCCTGACTTGCTGCCTCCAGCTGCTGTGGGGCAGGGGTGGGTGTGTGGTGGGGAGAGGCCCAAGCAGCTCCTTGCAGGCTGGAATTGTGACAGTCTGCAAGAGAAAAGCCACAGATTCCCATGGTTTTTCTCCTTTAATTGGGAATCCATTTTTAAAGTCTGTTTGCAACCCTTTCATATATTCTTGTGACCCACTTTTGGATCATGACCCACAAGTTGAAAAATGCTATCCTAGGTCATTCAGCCAGCTAATAGCAGACCAAGAAATAGGCTTCAGTCTCTTGATTCCCAGTCTAATACCCTCTCCCCTACACACTATGCTGTCTGATAATTATACAGGGTCTTCATAAAGTCTTTGTGCACATTTAAACTTTAATAACTTATGTTGGTCCTTCCTGACATGCTCAGAGACATCAGTGAGGACTATGCTGGATGCTATATATAGCCCTGAACAGTTTATAGTCTCTCTAAAAACAATGACAATATGTGGATGTTCTAGATCAGTGAAATACCAGCTCAATCTTTTGGCCCTCTAAGCCAAATGAGTGGTGTTGGCCTGGTCTGCAGGCCAAATCCAAACTACTGCCTCTACCCAGGCCTACATGCTGGGATCAGGGCCCTGGGACCCTGCCCCACCTCCACCTAGCCCTGTGTGCCAGGATTGGGACCCCAGGACCTGTGCTGCCTCTGTCAGGCTCTGCACACTAGACTTGGGGCCCTGTGGCACTGCACTGTCCTCTGCCTGGCCCAAGGTGTGGGGTTCAGGCTCAAGGGCCTGTGTTGCCTCCACCCAGCCCTGTGCCAGGTTCAGGTCCTGCACTGCCCAGTACTACAGATCTAACATGCAGGGCCATGGCTGCAAGACTCCCCACAGACCTGTGAGAAGTCCCACAGGCCATATAACAAGACACCATGGGCTGGATCTGGCCTGTGGGCCAGGGATTGAGCACTAGGGATATGCAAAATTTCACCAGCAGTTTTGTTTCGATGCTGTTTTGACTCGTTTCGAGCTCGAAACAGC